AATTATAGATAAAACACAAAAATCTATCTTCGAAAAAAAGGACGAAAAAACAGATTCTACTATTTTTTTTAATATACTGCAGATATTTACTGTTTTTACAATTTAGTGACAATCCTCGTGCAAGAGTTACCCAGTTAATTATATTTACAAAAACTTTTTTAGAATATCATATTCCGTTTCAAGTCTTTTTGTATCATAATGGGTATCAAAATAATCGTCCTTTTACGACGAATCATAATTTTTAATTTGTTACATGCTTGCGTTATAACGTTAAATTTAAATGTTATAAAAATAATTGATCATTAAAATATTTGAATATTTTACTCATGAAAAATTTAAAGAAAAAATTCATAAATAAATCATTGAAATCCTTTACTGAATTTTGTAAATCTATCAATGACTTGGACATTGTGGTGCTGTTGTCACTGACATTTAATTTAGTGTACGTTAGATGTGGTGAAAAAGTTTATGCTCATTGCACTCTTTTACCTAGACTTAGTGCCAAATGTATGCATACATATATGTGTAGATGTTTTTATATTTGTTATTTTTTTTATCTTTTATCAATATTTTGTAATAAATACTTTCAAAATCCATTTTCACTTTCTTAGAAAACATTGAATTGCCGCACAGTTAAATTCCGGAAATGAAAACAAAATTATGTCGGAAATGAAAACAAAAAATGTCGGAAATGAAATAAAAAAATGTCGGAAATGCTATGCATATTTCCGGAAATGAAATGAAGCGGTATGTATAGTTTCCTGTTAGTTAGGGACGGTAGAACGCCTAATTTAGGTCTATTGTCTGACCAGTCGGTGTACTGTACACTGTTAATCTATTAATCTTACCCCGTTTCTTAATGTGTATGAATCTGGTCGGATGTCATGTTTAATCTGATCGGCTGTGTCCTTCTGAAAATCGATTTTGAAATAACAATCAATGAAGACCGACTATATTTTGACAGATACTTACCGCTGCATTAAAAAAAAAATTACGAATTCAAATTATTCATGATGTAAAAGACATTTGTATAGCAGTAGCCCCGCCACCCCCCCCCCCCCAAAAAAAAAAAAGACAGGGATTTTTTTTCATGAAAACATATGACTTTAAGTTATATTCCTGTGAATTCTGTAGCGGAATAATGCTTTTAACACATGTAATAAAAATACCATCTTTCTAAATAAAGGAAATTTCATTTTGTGTTCATTTATAAATATAATTTTAAGAATAAATTAATTTTCGGTAGTGAAAAATTAAGATGTTTCAGAGGGGCCTGCTCCCGGCGTGTAATAATAAATTATTTATTTTAAAAAATCATATACACTAATATTAAAAAAAACCCATGTAATAATTATTTATTCAAAAAAATAATATACGGTACTGATGAAGTTTGTCTTGTTTTATTTTTACTGTAAATTATTTTTTTTTTAAATATTAGACACCGGGAGCAAGCCCCTGTGATTGAGTTTTGATACGGTTTTTCTGATCTCGGCAATAATTGTAGTAGAATACAGATTATATATTACTTTCATGGCTAATAAATAATTTAAAGTGTATTTATATTCATTAGTTTAGTTCAACTTGTGGGTAGAATTCTATCATTTTATTTTTTTTATTTACAAAAAAGAAGGTAAAACTGCTGGATGGCTTAAAACAGTGTTGTGGATCGGCGGACAGTGTCCAAGAAGACGCCACGTCAACCAAAACGAATGTAGGTGGCAAGAACACAACAGGTCATTTCCTTATCACAACTGGTACCCTGGTGATCCTAGTGGTGACGGACCATGTGTACTTCTTATCAAAAATGGGCAATGGATTGACTATGATTGTGGCCAAACACGTTTTTATTTATGTGAAAAGGCTGCCTAATTGAGTATTTCTCAAATATTTTTAGTGATGAGTTTTCAAACTCGTAAACCCGAAGTTTCGTTAAATGAACCTGGTTCGAAGTCATATTATTCCTTTCTTTGTTTTACCTAAAATTATTTCCAATGTCTAATAATTATTATTAAAGAGAACTAAAAAAAGACTGAAATATTTATTCATTTATTTCTCTTTGTTTCATTGACATATTTTTTGTCCCCCACTTGAAAAGTGGGGGATATTAATTTGGGTTTGTCCGTCCGTCCGTCTTTCTGTCTGTCTGTAACGCTTTCGTTTTGTTTAGCTTTTGCAATGAAATTTAGCATAGCAACTCCCTATGGACCAAAAAGAAGCCTATTGAATTTGAGGTCAAAGGACAAAGGTCAAGGTCATAAGAAAGAAAATTCTGTCTGTTAAAATACTTTCGTTTCCACATGAAATTTCTAGAACCATTTGAACTATTGCAATGAAATTTTACATATCAACTCTCTGTGGCCTAATGAAGACCCCTATTGATTTTGAGGTCAAAAGGTCATAGTTCAAGGTCGTAAATTTATACACTCTGTCTGTGTGTAACACTATCATTTCCAGGCGATATTTCAAGAATACTATGAGCTTATGCAAAGTAATATTATACCAAAACGCCCTAGGACCTATCTCACCCCTCTCAAAGTGCCCTTTTGTTTTATTAGTATTTATAGTATTACATGTCGCTATTTTAGCACAGATGCATTAGTTATTGCGTATAAAAGGGTTGTCGGTTGACTTTATGTTCTTATTACATCTATAAGAACTGTTTAGTAAAGGCTAAGTAAATCAAACACCATGGATTGTGTAAAATTTTGACAATACCGAACATGAATAATTATATACATGTATGTGACTTCACTTCTGCATATTCTTGACTCCAGGTAAAGCGACTCTGTAATCTAGTGGTATGTTTCTCGCTTCCCATATGAGAGGTTCCGAGATCAAGACCCGGATGGACCACTTTTTTTTTTAGAAATACTTATTTTTTACTAAATCATACTAAATTTACGAGGTCTGGCTTGTACAAACTCATAAAATCATCATAGCAGTGTGGTAAAAATTCCATATAAAAAGAATCTTCTATACACATAATAAAGAATAAGCAATTAAATATTTATATCCATAATGGTATATTTTATTTGCTTCAGTATACATTCATGTATACATTTAATAATTCTACAAATTCAAGGAGGGGGACCGCGTCCCCCTCGAACTGCGCATTTTTTACTTTTTCTTTAGGCGGAGGACACAAATTCTCTGAATTAGCTTGTCATAATATGAAATATCTGTCTTCCGGTAAGCAGACGTTAGACTTAAGCCTACTGGAAGGTTACACAGTGGTACAGATATGATCTTCGCTCAAAAATGAATGGTAAGTTACAACTGGAAATTACATTTTTCTTTTTATCAACGACTGGCATACATTGTTAAACCCCTTGCTTAAAAAGCTAGAGGGTATAGAGTACTGTAGATTCCTAATTATTAGTGAGAAATCAATTATTGCGTAATTTCGCCAAAAGCGTTAAGCGCGAGTAGTATAAGCATCCTGGATGAGCATGTGTCGTATTCACGAAAACGCTGTGTCAGGGTCAAATACTCTTCATCTGTTGATGTAGTACAGCTTAATCCCTATATTACAATAGATGGGATATTTTAATATATATTTCTGTCTGGAATTCATGTCAAGAATTTGATCTCTAGTTACTGTGGATTGAATATTTGAAGAGATCCATAAAATCATTTTGTAGTTCACTTCGGGATATATACGTACTGTAATTTATGTGAAAAACTTTTATTTCACTTGCAGAAATTTTGCATTTGTCTATTGGAGTTTTATGAAAAGACTTACTTTTACAATCGACAACTGACTTTTACAATTAAAACATAGACAAACTCCAATTACTTAAACGTAAAAGTCAGCTGTCGAATGTAAAAGTAAGTCTCTTCATAAAACTCCATTACAAAGCCCATTCATTCTGTAATTCAGATTCAATATACATGTAAATTAAAATGATGAAATCGCCTTGGTGTTCAATAATTTATTTACACGGCACAGTTTTGGCTGGCTCCGCCCATCGGTGTATCTCCAGTTATTGTACACTTGACTTCAAAGAAAAAACACCGCAGCCATGATACAAAATTTTATCTTTCATTCTTTATAGCTTATCTCGCATAAGACAAGCTGATGAGCGTAGGTATAAGAACGATAATTAAATCATGATCATGTTTGAAAAGAACAGGTTTGTCGTTTTGAAAAATTTCACGGACTTGATAATTTTTGTATAGTATTTGAAAGGATATGCTTGACCTGTATGCTTAATACACTGTAAATGTCATGCGTCATCCCGAATTTTTTTTACACAGATATCATATGTTTTAATACCTCCCCCCCCCTTATTGATTCAACAAAATAGTAGCAAGAATGGACTTTGTAAACCATTCCATCTGAATGAAACATTCTTGAATGGGACATTAAACAAAATACGAACGTACAAATACATATCAAATGTCCAAAATAGCCAATCTTCATGTGTCACTTTTTCTCTGTATAAATAATAGCATCTATATGTGTATACAAAATACATGCCTTTATTTTACGAGAAAAATATATTTGAAGGGACCTATTCACTAGTTTATAGGTCCCAAGTATTTGCTAATTGAACGTTGGCTTTCATTGGTCGGGTGTGGTTGACACATCAAGTGTTCTATATAAAAGGTCGGGTTTGTTCTTCATATTCCTTTTTCCTGAACCTTTCAAAGGTAAAAAGACGCATAACAATTGCTTGCAAAAAATACATGAGATGTTGTTTTTTAACTTTAAAACCCGCCTTCCCACTACCTTTATTGATCGTTCCATTTTCTCTAAATAAGAATGATATTCTGCTGCTTGGTTTTTTGCTTTATTTTGCAGTGAAACAGCTTCGATCTGCACGTCCGAGATGAATACCTTATACCCATAGCAAAATATTCTGGTGCTGTCTAAGGAGAAATTAAAGTGAAGAGTCTACCCAATGATGTCCATATCAAGTCTAATGTCAGGTTTAAGGATTGTGCTAAACGTGAATTTGTCTGAAACGTGTAATAAACTGTCACTTTGTTGAAATGCTAATGCTAGTGTAAGCTAAGCTAGTAGGCTTACTCTTGGTGACATTAATATATACTTTAGAGCTGTACTACATACTACAAGTTTGAAATATGACAAATGTTGATATTTGAAGTTTGAGATATTAATGATATATGTTATGCAAGATTTGATAAAAATAAGTTGATATGCTTGATATTTGGAATTTGATATATGACATATTGATTTGATTGATTTGAACAGTTTGCATGTGTTCGGTAAGCAAGGGACATTTAGAAAAAAAAAACACACATTGTTGATGTTTGAATTTAGTGGGTTCGCCCAATTGAAATGACGTCGCACAATTTTGTATTCTGCCAAGGCCAATACTCGCCACAATAAATAAGTTTAAATTCTATATTGAGTTTTGTGTCATTTACTCTGTATAAATAATGACATCATTTGGACTTTGTCATACACGTATGATCTTTTCTAAAATGTCAGTTAGAACTTACGTATTACATACAGTTACCTTATTAATCCTAACAAAAATATTCTAAAGTTTACTTAAATAACTATATTTAACTATAGAGATAAGTTTGATTTACCAAAGCAATAACTATAAATACATTAATTTGCTATGGCGAAATCTTTGATTTACTATAGTGATTATGTTGGACACTTTGATTTATTCGAAAGATGGCTTCGACACTTTGAGTTATTATAGTTAACTAAAATACACTATGGTAAATTATATTTTACTATAAAACTTTTAATAGGGAAGTAAAATTCAGACAGACGGCTTAACATCCTTACAAAATATGGCAAAAAGTAAGGTAGAAAGTCTTGATCTTCATTCAAATTCACGGACTTGAAATAAATAATAGCATCTTGTCATTAAGATGATAACTGAATTGCGTCAATTATTTAGACAGTAACAAAATAAAACCATTGGTTCAGGTTAGAAATCATGTGAGTAAGGCAATAACAGAATCAGGTCATTAAAGAAGTATGCGGAACGCAGTATCGAGTCAAAAATCAAGGGTGATAAACTTGTATTTACGCAAAGCAACTCCGTTTACCGAGAGAAAGTCGGACCTTTGCCTACCGCAGACGAAGTGATCACAGATGACGTGGTAAATACTGCCGTTAGTACAGGGAAGTCCATAGAAGATAACGGGAACCGGTTCATAGCACACGCTACACAGGTCGACTCCTACAAACAGATCAAGAAATCGCTGGTGGATATCATGCGTGTCGAGACTGTGCCAAGCGGGAGTCACAATATTTACGCCTACCGTTTCTCAAGTTGTGATGGAGTGGTGCACGAAGGTTCAAATGACGATGGCGAGCATGGAGCCGGTAGGTTGCTATTAAAAACGCTTGCCGATAACGAAATTAACAATGCACTTGTAGTTGTGTCAAGATGGCACGGAAATAACATCGGACCCCGTCGCTTCTCGCACATTAAGGAAGCAGGTCTCGGTGCGGCAAAGAAGTTACCAGTCTCAGTTTGATATAGCTTTCAATCTCGCATAAAAGGTGAATTCCGACTGTTATTTGAGTGGACCACTATCTTGAACCAATCTTATTACCGATAATAGTGTTTCAAAGTGAAATAATCATCAGGTGTGTTTATTGAAATATTCCGGAATATTTTTTTCTACCTAATTATTCCGGCTTCTTTTGAAATGTTGTATTTCCTGTTTTGTTTTTCGCATTTGGTAAACAATTTTCTTTTCATTTCAAATATTGCCTGGTGTTAACATAATATGTGAATATATTATTTGTCTTAAATACCACATAACAATTGGGGAATCTATGCCCATAGTCTCCATAATATCAAACAAATATACATTATCTAATTGATACAAAATAGTCAAGTTATGATTTGTTTAAAACCAGAGTTTTCTCTGTTATTGTTTAAGTTATTAAACTTTTATCATAACTTTCTATGCTCATATCCTTTTTCGCTATTAAATAGAAAAGTCTTTGTGCATAGTATTCTCTACAATCCGTTAGCATTTTTGATTTTTATAAATGTGCCTACTTCCAATTTATTATCATAACTTTTAAAAAGATTTTAGCAAAACCCCCCTCCAAATAATCAACAACAAGAGGCATGTCTTTTTTTTCCATACTTTTTTCCACTTTTTTCCAAATATTTGTTTTTGACAACTGGGGGTCAGCATTATTCATATTATCATATAGACATTTATGGGACATAGGGAAAATAACATAAAAATACTGTCAGTAAACTGCCAAGGCCTGGGGGATATAGATAAAAGAGGTGATGTTTTCAAAAATCTAAAAGCTAAGAAATGTAATGTTTATTTTCTTCAAGATACACATTTTGTGGAAAAAGATGAGAACATGATAAGAACACAGTGGGGGTATAAAGCTTTTTTTAGTTCTTTTAAATCCAATTCAATAGGAGTTGCTATCTTATTTAATAACAATTGTGAAGTAAAAATATGCAACGAGTTTAAGGATAATGAGGGAAATTATCTTATTTTAGATGTCATCATTGAAGACTTACCTTTTTTATTGATAAATATATACGGTCCAAATTGTGATAGACCCAATTTTTTTCTAAGTTTGCTTAATACAATAGAGGAGATAAACTGTTCTCAACACATTGTTATTGCAGGTGACTTCAATTTAATTTTTGATAAAGAGTTAGATTCAACGAACTACAAAAATTTAGATAATCCTAAATCACGACTTGAAGTTTTAAAACTTATGGATGCTTTAAACCTAAAGGATGTATATCGTGAAAATAACCCAAACTTAAAAAGATTTACATGGAGACGAAAAAACCCAATTAAACAAGCTAGGCTTGACTTTTTCTTAATATCAGAATCTTTGTTTACCATGACTCCTTCTGTAACTTACGAGAATAGTTATCGTTCTGATCACTCACCAGTTGTGTTAAGTTGTAAGTTAAATGAGTTCATAAAAGGAAGAGGATTCTGGAAATTTAATAACTCTTTACTAACTGATAAGGAATTTGTTAAAAAGATAAAATATAAGATTGAAGAGGTCAAAGTTCAGTATGTATGCCCTGTTTACAATATGGAAAGACTTAGCTGTCTAGGTAATGATGATATTCAATTTACTATTAGTGATCAACTTTTTCTTGATATTTTACTAATGGAAATAAGAGGAAAGTCAATCTCTTATTCCACTTACAAAAAGAAGGAAACAAATGAAAGAGAAAAACAATTAGAAAAAGAAATATTTGAATTAGAACAAAATTTAACAGAACAGTCAATAAATGAACTTGCAGAAAAACAAACAGAAATGGAAGAAATAAGAAAAAAAAAGGTTTAAAGGACATTGTATCAGGTCAAAGGTTAAATGGATTGAGGAAGGAGAAAAACCATCAAAACACTTTATTAGTTTAGAATCAAGAAACTATGTCAGTAAGCAAATTCCAAAAATAGAAAGAGATGATGGATCATTTGTTTCTACTCAGAAAGATATTTTAGAGGAAACAAAGTCTTTTTATGAAAGTTTATATAAAAAAAGGGAAAATGTTGAATCTGAAAATATTCATGAAAAATTAAAAAATTATAAAGATATTCCCAAGTTAAGTAAAGAAGAATCAAATAGTCTTGAAGGTCCAGTGACAAATTCTGAAGTTCTTAATTTCCTAAAACAAATGAAAAATGAGAAGAGTCCTGGCCCCGATGGATTTACTTGCGAGTTTTTCAAATTTTTTTGGAAAGATATAGGTTCTTTTATTACAAGAGCAATAAACAATTCATATGATCTAACACATTTTACAGAGTCAAATAAACTTGGAATTATAACTTGTTTTCCAAAATCAGGAAAACCAAAACAGTTTTTAAAAAACTGGCGGCCAATTAGTCTACTAAATGTAGTTTATAAAATAGCTTCAGGTTGTATTGCTGAACGAATGAAAACAAAATTAGATACATTAATCAATAGAGACCAAACTGGATTTATAAAAGGAAGATTCATAGGGGAGAATATTAGATAAATATATGATTTGATGCATTATACAGAATTAAACCAAGTACCTGGTTTACTAATGCTTATAGACTTTGAAAAAGCATTTGATACAATTTCATGGAAATTAATATATCAAACATTGGACTTTTTCAACTTTGGGCTCTCCATTAAAAAATGGATTGAGACTTTCTACAGTGGTATTAAATCATGTGTAATACAAAATGGTATTATTTCAGACTATATATTTCCTCAAAGAGGCTGTAGACAAGGTGACCCAATTTCACCATATCTCTTTCTGTTATGTGCAGAAATACTTGGAATTCTTATTCGAAATAATAAAGACATTAAAGGCATAACAATCGAAGGCGAAGAATATAAACTTTCACAATATGCCGATGATACATCCCTTATTTCAGATGGTTCACCTACCTCAATGGATGGTATTCTACGAGAACTCGATTATTTTGCAAATATTTCGGGTTTAAAAATTAACTTCTTAAAAACAAAAATGGTTTGGATTGGAAGTAAGAAATATTCCAAGGAAGTTTTTCACCATTCTCGGTGGAAGCTTGATTGGGATAATTCAAACTTTGATCTGCTAGGAATAAAATTTTCAGTTAATCTGGAGGAAATGCTTGAATTAAATTACATGTCAAAATTAAATGATATTAAAAAACTCCTATGTAGTTGGAGTATGAGGAAACTTACCCCAATTGGTAGATTAACAGTAATTAAAACTCTTATAATACCAAAACTAAATCATCTGATTCTTACACTACCAAATCCTAAACCTGAATTTCTAAAAATGTTTGAGACAGAGTTGTTTCATTTTTTATGGAATAGTAAAATACATAAAATAAAGAAAAATGATATAATTCAGGACTATAAATATGGAGGGCTGAAAGTGATAGATTACACAGAATTTATTTCTGCACTTAAATCAAGTTGGGTTAGAAGACTCATTCACTCAGATGCAAAATGGGTAAAGTTGTTTAAAGCTGAACTAAAAACAGACATTGAAAACATGTGGATAAGGGGCTCAGATTACATTCTAAACTTAGCAAAGAATTAAACAAACAATTTTTGGAAAGAGGTCCTTAATTCCTGGGTAAGACTTATAAATATAAACCAAGAAAACAAAACATGTGTTATTAGAACATATATGGAATAACCCACGTATAATGATTAATAGAAAATGTTTTTTCTGGAAAAACTATTTTGATGAAGGCATTGTCTTTTTAAATGACCTTTTTGATAATGATGGTAACTTTTTAAGCTTCGATACCATAGTAAACTTAAAAGTGAAAACAAATTTTGTTGAATATAATGGTCTTAAGAGGGCTATATTAAAAAGACTGAAGTATGCAGGAATAGAGGACATTAAAAGATTAAAGGTTATTGGACCAAATATTCCACATTCAACTTTCATTTTTTATAGAAGTAATAAAGGGTGTAAAGATATGTATAAAATATTTATAAATAACAAGAGAGAACCAATCAGTTCTCTTTTAAAATGGAATGAAAATAATGTTTTCTTTGATGAAGCAGATTGGAATAAAATATTTGAACTTCCTTTCAAAGTTACTCAGGAATCCAAATTTCACTGGCTCCAATTTCAAATATTACACAGAATTATTCCAACAAATTATTATCTTTTTAAATTGAAGTTGATTGACTCAACAGCCTGCACTTTTTGTTTAAGTGACTTAGAAACAATTGACCACTTGTTTGTAGAATGTTTCAAAGTAAAAGATTTATGGTGTAGGATTGAAGAATGGGTTTTGGACAAATTTGAGATGCATTGTAGTTTTGAGAACAGAAATATTTGTAAATTACAAAACTTGATTATACTTACTGCAAAGCAATTTATTTTTGCAAGTAAATATAAAAGTATTCCAAAATTAAGTATCGACATCCTAATAAAGAGGATTATAGAGAGAATTTTTATAGAAAAGGTGTTGTTATTACAAAGTTGCAAATATATGGAATATGAAAGGCACTGGCAAAAAATCTGTCATGTACTTTGAAAAAAAAATAATTTGTTTTTATGGTAAAATGTAATTAGATGCTAATTTTAAGGATTTACATTAGCTAATTATAAACATTTGAATGCATTTTTCTACTACTGCTGACCCCCCCCCCCCCTGTTTTTTTAAATAAAATAAAATAACTTTCACATATACAAGTAAACTTTGTACTGCTGTAAACGAACGAAATTATCAAGACATTTATCGTGTATATGTGTTTATATGCTTTGCTTATATATATATGTATAGTCTGCTCTGTGTACTTGTGAAAGTCAATAAAAAAAAAAAAAACAAAAAAAAAAAAACAATCCAGGGGCGGATCATTATCCAACAATTTTGAAAGGGGGAGGCTCCAGTTCGGTGCCCCCAGCACTCATGCACAAAATCACACCTCCAGAATCACAACTCGGCCACTTTAAGTCCGTAGCTACATTTAAAAGAAAGGGGGCCTCCAAAACAGTTGACAAGGAAATACGGGGGGGGGGGGGGGGCTGGGATGCCGCAATCCGACGTCCTTTCTCATGAACACACACACGTAAAATGTTTATTAAAAATACTGACAGGAAGGAGAGATTATCCATGCGGT